TGCTACATCTGCCATCCAAAAAACAATTGCCTCCATCACAAATCATCTGTGAATATGGCATATTTGGCGTTTTCGATATTATATATCATTCCCGATGGATTTGTCAAATGCAATTGCAATGAAAATCGCTCAGAGGAAAGAGATTTTGTTCTAAAGATGCATTTTGTATCCCTAGCAGAAGATGAGAGCCATAGCTTTCCGCGCATTTCTAAATTCGTTATTTCACTGGTTGAATGCCAAGAATGTGAAGAAAATAAAATGACTATCTCAGTCTTTACTTCCCTTCCATATACCGAATATGAGATAGTGAACTCTTTCCGGAAACCCTCGTAAGTAAGAAAATCCAAGCTAAGTTATTTTGTAAAGCTGTTGTTCTCAACTAGAATGTTGGTGATTTTGATAGAAAAATTTACTTTTCTCTAATTGATGCTTTGTTCATAAAAAACGCAAAACGCCATGTACGTTAGAAATCTATCCAAGTACGTACCACTTGCAAGACAAAATAAAGCAAGTATAACACCTTTAGTCATGAGTCCTAAAGCTCTATTTCACATCTGGAAACGATTTTCGCTATAGCTTTTTTACCTAACTGTAACTGCATTGACTCACCAGTGAGTGTTCTTCGTTTAGCGGTCTTTATCTATCAGAGTCATTTCTCACTTTTCCTGAAATCAGTGGCTCTATGACGTCTTTGCAATCTATCGCTTAATCTCGCATCTCATTTATTCGCTAATTTTTATTATTGGGTACTTCAAAGAGAAAAATGGTTCTTGAATGAGATGCGCTTATCTTTTTTTCCTGCTAAGAAAATCTCTTCTGAATCAATGGTTTCCTTTTACAAAAAGCTTTTTGGTGCTCATAACTTGTATGCTAGTACGACTCTATCTCGGATTAGATTTACAAAATCTTCAAATATAGACAGACAAAAATATAGATGCAATCGCAGCAAAAAATGTGGCTAAAAATTATTATAATAATTTGAAGTGCGTATCTAATATGGCAGGTCTATTGAGATAAAATCATATTATAAATCAAAAATGTTAATGCTACCTATTCAAATTCTGTTCAGAATTTTCGTGAGATAACTACTATCCCGACTTCAGATGAAGTTTCTGCGAAAAATATACTCTGTCGCTTCTTCTTCACAAAATTTCTAAGAAGTTTTTGGTTCTTGAACAAAATGAGCTTTCGGTGTTCTGTTCAATTTGCCTACGGATAATCCTTTCTTAGCATTCAATCTCACTGGTATTAAATGTTGTGACAGTAATGTAATTCTTGGATTTTTGACCACATTCTATCCCCTGACTTTCAGAATATCCGTACTAATCCACCAGAATTTTCTAGAAATGATTTCATTTCCCATCATCGATGTTTCGTTGAATAATGGAAGCAAACACACTGTCATCGCTCGCAAAAGAACTAAAATTTATGCATCTTTTTGCAACAGAGTCTACACCTCTCGAAATCGATTGCATTAGGTATTACCATAAGATTCATCCGACTTTTTCCAGTGCTTTTTAAACATTCAAATCGATATTTTCCAGAGTTTCTCTTTGCAGGGTGAAAGAGATGATATATTCTATATTACTTCTACTTCTAAAAATAAGTGTAAACGTTCTCTTTTCTGATTCTTCGTCGCAAATGATTCACCGTAAAAAATTTCGAGCGCACGATATTACACCGTGCATGGGAGGTGACTAGTGACCAATTCGTATGTATTGCATAGTTAAAGCTGTTTCTAAATCTTTTAGAAGACTAAAGTGAATGAAAATTCAGTAAAAGTTGTCTTAAGCTTTTCGAAACGTTTAGTTAAAGTCTCAAATAATTTTTAGCAGTTTTCTGCCTTTCAATTCTTAGTTTCTGTTTCTTTTTATCTTGTTTCCTTTTGCACCTGTTGGGAATAGCCGCAATATGTTTCTTCAATATATAAAAATAGGATGGCGTCCTCAAGGAAACTGAGTGGGCAGATAGGAAGTAATAAATTGTTAAACTCTGGGAAGATGTACCTGGGAGACTCACATCTGACGTAAGCGCTGTCATTGACAGAAGAATTACTTTCTCAAATCACTTCTTGGATAAAATCAATTTTATTGGTAATTTGGATAGATTTTCTGCAGTTGCAAGTACTTTTATTCACTTATTGTTTACTCGTCTCTCCATCTAATTTTTTATGTTCTCAAAAATACACCAGCAAAAAATACCGTTTTTTTTCGTTTCCGCTAACGAATTGTTGAACACTTGGTCACAGCACACACATGAAAAAATGGAGCATCTTCTAGTAACCACGAAAACGTAAGTAGAGTACGATTTCCTATTTTCCGTTATATCATTGTCGGTCTGCCTTACTTCAGCTGTGAAATTTATTGTTTTCGCTCAGACAATCTGTAATTGACATTCTTGCTTGTTCACCCCACTGTGGCCCATCCATCTTTCACAAATTAGAGTATTTGACAACTTTTGTATAAACTACTTAGAACCAGATTTTCTGGAGCAGTTTGTTAATCTGAACCTTTTTTTCTCAATGTATGCTTAAATGTACATAAGTTTATCGTCTCATTTTTTTTTACAGTAAACGTTACAAACTAGCAGTTTTGGAACTTTACCGCCAAAACTGTCATTATCAACAGTAAAAGCATTCCTTATGCAGTCAGATTGGCCGATCGTTCCAATTTTCATAATTGTTTATCAAAACTCAAGGCTGGCAGCATCATCATTCCTTTCTTCTCTTCCTCTTTTTCTTTCCTCCTTTTGATATTTTCACCGCGAAAGCAATTCTTTGCGGTTTTGATTCGGAATGGTTAATGTCGTGGAAGGTTTTGTCATGTGTTTGAATGTTTTCCCTATGGAAGGCGTCATATATCTTGAGTTTTTCTTCATTCTCCATCATATTAATAACTTATTCATTCCAAACGTACTTTTGGCTTGAAACGCACCTCTAAGCATTTTCTGGGTGAAACCTCTTTTCTTTTCCGAGCTCAATCTCACCACATGCACGTATCAATCATATATGCTTCCAAGTGCTTCGCAAACAATAGAAGTAGTCTCGATTTTCACTTTTTATTACCCTTTGAGTCAATATATTTCGTTTTTTCTGGTCTTCAGGGCTTATATGAAGGCTTGCCAAGTTTACTAAGATTTTGCGACTCTATAGCGCTCAACGAGAGATTTTCAGAATTCTCGATTCTCACAAATTTTCTTAAGATGAGAAAAATTCTTATGAACTTCCAAGATTTCTGAATGGGCGGAAAGAACTTTATTCCCTCAATTCTCCCCCCTCTCTTTCCCTTTTCAAATATATTACTTTCTTTTTCTCACTTTCAGCACTTATTTCAGCGCCTGCCAAATTTGCTAAAAATTTCCCGTTTTTACAGCTAGCGTCCAGAAACGGAAGTTTTTAGAATTCTCAGAGTTAGAGCATTTTTTCATTAACTTTCTGAGCTTTATAAATGAGTAAAGTAAGACTTCATTTCTCGTTTACCCCCCCCCCCCCTCCTCCAAAGTGGGTGTGGTCACTCCACTGAGCCCGGCGAAGATCGCGCGAGATCCTCAGAGGCTGCAGACTCGCGGCGGATCATGCCGACAAAGCCGCGGCCGAACAGCTGCCGCTATCTCCCTCGCAAAAGTTTCGTCGCTCGCTACCCCCCGCAATGGGCTACCACTAGCACTCTCTTGCTCTAGAAACTACTACGGAAGTGAGATTTCTGGCCAGTTGCCAAATTGCTGTGGCAGAGTTAATTGTCCGCGTATTCTCGATTAGATTCGACATTGTTCTGGTCGCTAAACATGGCAGTTGTCGCGCTCGTGCGCGACGCGATTCGTCATTGCATGGTTAATTACCGCTCTAATCTATGCATTTGTGGACACGCATTTGTCAGTGAAGAGATCGGATTAGGAGGACTAGGACAACTGACACAGAGTTTCTTGCTTTGAAATGGCTTTCTGATGGCGTTAAGCGTTCAACCATTGTAATTCGTTCTATATCGCATCCTAATGCTACTTTTTGTAGTCTCTGAACTTATTGTTTATTGCGATATTTGATTTTCTTATTTTTCAATATTTCTGCATTCTTCCTTTTCTATGACTCAGTTTTCTTTCAGTTCCTTATTGAACTAGGATTTCAATTATTAGTTGGTCGATCCTTTAACATATTGCTTAAGTTCTTATCCTTTTTTGCAGTAATGTCCCTAATTTCCGAATTAGTAAATAATGTGTAATTTGATGTTGTTTGGACTTCACCATGCTGTAACCTTTTCTTTTCTGTTCGAATCGGCTGTCTTGTTTCTCTTTTGACATATTTCAGCTAATTTTTATCCTATCTGAACCTCAGCTTACCCAAGCCTAGAGGCAATCATCCTCATATTTCTTCTTTTTTGTTCTCCTTTAGATTTAGTTGGGAGCTGGGGTTATTTTTACTTTTTTTTGTTGCTTCCTTGCTTTCTTCTTTTTGCTTTCTTTCTTTCTTTCTCTCTTGAGAATATTTTACAATACAAGCGCTTGAAGTCCTGAAAATTTTTAGTTTTGCGAATTTAATACAAATTTTCATTCATTCATTTTTTAAATTTAGCCATTGTGGATGTGCCTACTATCACTCAAATGTATTTAGCAACATAGAACCATATAAATTCTGGAAAATGGCAAGTTCTGTAAAAAAAATTCCTAGTTCAATCTTTAGTAGAACACGATGTCTTTCCATAATTTGTTCTTGGAAATTTTTTGAAGAAGATATAACAGATTTTGATTTCAGACAAAATTTGGGATCAATATCTGATATAATACGTTCTTCAATGGTTGATTTCCCGAGTTTATAGGCTTAAATTGATTATTTTCAGTTAATTATAGTTTTTATCAATGCATACCAGTAAAAACGGATATTGATCTTATATCTACTTCATCTCGCTTTCATGTCCAACATTACCTGTTCGCTGTTTTTTTTTTCATTTTTTTTGCCCCGTGGCACGTTTTGTCCAGCTGACCAAAGTACAAATGAAGTAATTGTTTATTTATCAGGTGATGAGGGCGTGGCTGGTCATATCCAGCCTCTTGTTGGTGGTCCATGTTTGGACCTTCAACATCGACACGAAAAATGCGGTCGTCCATTCGATGCCCTCCACATACTTCGGTTACTCGCTCGATTTCTACAACGAGGAGAAAGGAATGCCTGTGTAGGTGTAACTATTCAAAAAATTACTTTACAACTATATATGGCTGGTGTTCCTAATTTTTCTTGTATTTTTGTGCAGAAACAGCCGTGGAGGGTAGTATAGATCGGTGTGAGAACAAGCACAAAGACTCCCTCAGCATTACAAAAAGACCACAGCCACACATTACAGCAGCACACATTGCTGCACTGCTCCGCTCTATATCTTTTGCTTCATATCATATTGATTGGAAAAGAGGGAAGAGGGTGGAAAAGGGGAGGGGGAGGGGGTTGAAAAATTTTGTTGTGAGATGCAAAATATAATTCACAGTTTTATATGTTAATCCAGAAAATTGCGTGAAAAAAGTGGAGAGAACGAGAAAGGAAAGGGAGGGTGGGGGGGGGGGGAAGTACTTGACCAAATTATGAAGTGAAATCAGGGAGGCAAGGATAACCCGAAAATATTGAACAGCAAAAAACATGGCAATAGTATGACAACAAATCCTAGGTGAAAACTTACAAAAAGTAATCAGAACAGTTTACTCTCAAGATTTGGAACAGAAAAATCATGGTCCCCAGAACCTACATTTTTAGGGCCGTGTACATACAATTTACTCGAACTTTTTCGGAGCTTTTTCAAAGAATCAGTCATTATACAAAATGATAAAAATAATGATATAATGTTCCACTCAAGAAGCTAACAATTTCAGAATTTCCAGTTTTCGTAAAATTCAAAATCTTTTAAAGCATTCTGAGGTGCAGATGTTCCTTTTTGCATTGTTCAAGAGAGCCTAACTGCCTCATTCGCTTCCCAATCTAATCTTTTACAATGACATCATCTTGAAATTTGGTCACAAATTAGGCCCATGTCTCAAAATCGAATTATTGCCCGTCAAGGATAAGTATGATTTATGAGCGAGCTCAAAATTCATGCTGTTCGTGCTTGTCCATTATTTATTCTCTAGAGACTTGTAAAAGTAGACATTTTTGACATTTGCATTTTCATCTCAGAGACGTAGAGATTCATGAATATGGTTGACTAGATAATTTATTGTTGATCAACTCAAAATTATAGTCCCTATCTAAATTTATAGTCGATAAGAAAGCTTTCAGCTTTAGTAAACCTGAAAACTTGTGTGAACGAAAGAGCGAGTTTTTATGTGTGATTTTTATAACTGGAAATGTCGAAGACTCTTCTACATGTGCTATTATTCAAAGGCCATTATTTTTCAAAGCTATAGCATCCCAAAGAGAATCTTTACGTGCCGTTAAGCAGCCAAATTTGTCTTTACTTTTGTCTTTGAGAGCTGCCTGAAAGGGCAACATATCAATAAAATCTAACGAGATATTTCATAGAAATCCTGCATTAGTTTTTGGAGAGTTTCTGTGAAAAATAGCAAATTTCCTTGAATAAATGTCTGTTATTTTTATCCTTTCTTCAAATAATCCCGATAATGATATTTTTGAATATAATTGTTTACGTTTTCAGACTTGTCGTAGGCGCACCAGAATCCGAGACGACAAATCCGAATCTGCGAGGTATTCGACGACCAGGTGCCGTCTACGTTTGCTCCGTGAACAAACCGACTTGCAGAGAAGCACATATCGACCCTAAACGTAAGTTTTTGTAAAAAACGCATTTTATAAGAATAAAATAGTTTGAAGAGGTATTAGAGACTTTCACATGCTTTCTTTGGAAGAAAAACGCAGGGATGCTATCGTTCTTCTCGCTAGTGCCCAAAAAAAAATGAGGAAACACAAATCACATAGTTTGATTGTATTTCTAAATCAAAATTAGAAGATGAAGATTTCGAAAAATTGTGGAAAAAATTTTGTGACTAATATTGCCTTATTTGCTGCTGCACTTCTTAGCAAGCTTCTATTTTTGTCACCTTCCGGCTAGACTGTTCTTGAACTAATTCTTAGACCCAATTTTCCTCATAAAATGCCTTCGATTCGACAAATTGCCCAACATTGGCTTTTTGCGAAGTAATTTGCATGACTGCATATGCTTGAATAGTGCATAGTGCATTCGTGTTGTCATTTTTTCTCATACACCATTTCCATGCGAAGAAGTTCGGAGCCGCATTTGCAATTAAATAAGAAGCTGGAGGAATATCTATGTAATCTGCTGCTTCGCGGGAATATCTTAACTTCTGCATTAATAAATTGTTCTAGTGAGAAGAAACGACTCAACAGCCAAAATCAAAAATTGAGTTTAGTAGGGAAATGATGAATTTAGCAGTAAGACCTATTTCCCAACTTTCATCGACTGAATAAAGAAACCTAAAAATATGGTAAGGAACGATTGATAAATAGTCTTAGTCATTTTTCACATTTTTTTTGTTTGGAGAGCTAAATATTATAAGTTTCATTTTCGTTCATGATTCACTCCTAACTCTTTTCAATGTTTTGCATGGTAAATATGTTAGTAATGAATAAAGAAAAATTTTCGCACAACGGATTATGGCTTACGAGAAACGGATGCTACATAGTTGCTCTGGCACTTGAAAAGCTTGAAAAATTTCCTCACTGCCTCACATAAAGGAACAATTTTGCTAAAGCTATAGCAACTAGAAGTTTGCTGCTCATACCTTCAAACAAAAAGTTGTATTATGATGTCATAGATTATAATAAAGTATGGGTATTGATTGACACGAACTGATACTATAAGATTCGGATGTTACGTCGTAATTTCGTAATCTGGGCATTTGAGAATCTAAGATGCTCTCATTTTTGGATTGAATTTGTAGAATTTTCAACCCTATGAAAATATTTCGTTTGTTTTTGCGAAGCACGGGTGAAGCTGGAGTATGTATTGGTTCCCGGTTAGTTTTTCTGAGAATTCGAAATTTGAGCAAAAAACGAGGAAATGAGTGCGCTGAGTGTTTATTGGCTTTGTAAAGGGACATCATTTCATTATAGTGATCCTTAATTGTCTTAGTTTGTTCATTTATGGATCCTTGAGTATATAAAAGACGTTCCCGTTCTTAGTTTCAATTTAATTTGCTCTTAAGAAGCTTTTGAAACACCGCTAAGCACATTATCAATTTTCAAGACATCGACAAATATTACAAGAAAAAAGATGTGAAATTTGTATGACTATCAGGACAGTATCGAAATGGTTCTCATAGTCCAAAGATCCCCCTGATGTACTTGTCAATCAACAATAAGCCATCGCAAGATGTACTAATTGTCGAACAACTATCACGTTACGAAGCGCTTCTTCTGCAAAATGCTTGTACTCATGAATTTTGTGGTAGTTGTCCTTGTAGTTGGCGTTTGCACTTTTGGCCGTGAATAACTTTGTTGTGAACAATGCTCCGCCGCTTTGCAGCAGCGTAATTTTCTCGAAATTTTGGCCCGAATGCGATGAGATCCCGGCACGCAATGCAAGATCCAATGATCGCGGGCTATTCAGCCATGAAACAACGGAAGTAGGGGAGAAGGGGGAATAGGGGGGGGGGGGTCTATGACTCAGTAGCTGAGCGGTTACTACCAAGGAGACCCTTAATCGAGCAGTCATTGGGAGTCTCATTTGTTATGGCACGAAACATAGGGCCATATGGCTATGGGGCTGAATGAGAAATCAATCAGCTACTCCTACTCCATACTCTTCCTACGAAAACGAACAATTCTCGCGCAGAAGTGCATTTCGTACATTGTCCCAGGAGCAGCAGAATTTCATTATAAACTCACCAGTCAGAAAAAACTACTCTGAATTCCAAACAAAACATTTTGTGGCCAATTTAGACATGACTTATGTATCTTTATGTTGCCGGGAAACCACTTTCGTAATTGCCTACCCATTCGTATTCCCGAAAGGAGATCGCAGTGTCTTGCCAACCACGGCAACAACGCCTTTATCGCTCCCTATCCGGCTGTAAAATAGTTAGTGAGAGGGGGTCGGATTGGGAAAAGAATATGACGACACTATCGCGAAGAATGTGGAACGGACCATTATAAAGTATAGCTATTACTAGCATGAAACTAATGGAGAATAGCTTAGGATTTTTTTCTCGGAAAAAGCTCTTATTATGAGAATATATCGCCACTAAACATCTGGCACTTTCCTACTATTTGAATAAATATTCTTAAGCCAATAAATAGCTAGCACATATAGTATTCTACAGTAAATAATGTACAAATTATGTTCGAGTGAGTTTCTCGAGATGAAAAAGTGAAAAACAAAAAAAAAACCAATGGTACATATATCCAACAAAAAAAGTTCAACCATTTCATAAAACCACCGTTCTCAGCAATTTGTAAACGGGAAAATTCAATGAAGGTAAGGCTTTTTCTTGAGGAATGATTTCTTTTCTTTTGACCGAATTAAAAGTTGGTTAAAAAATGAGAAGCATTTGTCTTCTAAATTTTGCGAAATTTTCTCATGATTCCTTACAGTTGCCGGTGTTCTTTCTCTTCAAATTGCAAAAGCTGAAGAAAGAATGCGCTTTAATTGCATAGATTAACATCACAGACAATATAATGGTCAGTAATATTTTTGAAAGAATCTCCGTATTTGTGCTTATACTTCCAACTTAAAGCTTCCTTCTATTGTTATTGATGCTCTTATTAACGTGTTACTCAATCTAATCTACCGCTAGTTGTAGAGCAACACATATTACTTGGATTATTTTATCGTACATGTTCATTGCAAATAATTTTTGACGGGAAAGAGAAGGTGATCCTACCATGATGAAAATCAAATGAGAAAGAAAATAGTCAAATCAAACAATTTAGTGTGATTTTAGCTCTCTAAATTCGATCTACACACTTTTAGCAATGTAAAGACTGCTAGAATAACATAGTTCAGATAGTTCAGACTTGATGACTTGACTAGAATAACTTCATCGTTTCAAATATTTCCCATTTACAGAAGGAAACGAGCGTCGACTCAACGGCTCAGTCTTGGCCCCAATCGAAGACAAAGCCTATCAGTTCTTTGGCGCAACGGTGAAATCGAACAAAAAGCACGACAAGCTCATTGTTAGTTTTTGGATAAAAAAACAATTCGATTTTCGACTGGGATAATTGGATCCCGCGTGTTACAGATGTGCGCACCCAAGTACAAGTACTTCTTTTCGAAGTTTGAGGTGATTGAACCAGTTGGAACTTGCTTTTTCACCGAGCAAGGTTTCACAAAAACACAGGAATTCGCATCTTGTCGTCAAGAACGTAAGTTCAGGGATAAAATAAACTTCTAAAGAAATTGTAGACAGGCAATTTTAGCTGCCCGACATGGTAGGCACCGTTTCGGATATGGACAATGTGGATTCTCTGCTGCTCTGCCGGACCGTTACAGTAAGGGCGACGAAAGGGTACGGTAGTGGTCTTAGATTGACTCTGCTTCCTCAAAGACTAAATTCTAGGCTTTCATCGGTGCACCGGGTGTATGGTATTGGCAAGGAGCCATTTTTAGCCAAAATGTGAGGAATTTTACCGATCGGCCTAATACCGAATATGGAGGAAAGGAATACGATCATGATATGATGGGTAAGCTCCGCCCTTTCTGCGTCAGTGGCTTGTAGGTCCCGAAATGAAAATTTTCAGGATACGCAACTGCTACTGGAGATCTAGATGGTGATGGTCTTGACGATATCGTTGCTGGTGTACCTCGTGGAAATGATTTGGCTGGAAAAGTTGGTTCACTTTGACTGAGGGGGGGGGGAGAGGGGTGCGGGAAAGCACGAGCAACTTTTAGCCTCGCCCACTCTCATCTCATCTCACTACATCGTGTCGAGACCTCTATAGACCAAAACTACAACCCTCTGTAGAAACGCTGAAGGACCCGTCATACTTCGCCGAAAAAAGCCCGAAAAAGCCCGAAAAGCCGAAAAAAAGCCCAAAAGCGCCAGAAAGAGCCGGAACGCTCCTTGCGTTTTGACGCTAAGGCATGTGTGTTGATTTATTTCGCAACCGAGTCTTTTTGCTTCATTTTAGGTTGTCTGCACATCGAAGTAATGGCAGAATTCTACCAAAAGTTCGTTTCTGCGTTCCGGTTCTTTCGGATTTTTTCGGGCTTTTTGGGCGCTTTTGGAATTTTTTTTTCAAGTATGATGCGTCCCTGAAGGCGGAGTGTCCTTTTTGACCGCAAATTTTGACTATTGCTTTCCGCAGTCCCCCCCCCCCCACTACTGCCTTCATCCAGCATGGTACGTAATTGCGTACTTGATTTTCAGCTCGTACTGTACACATCCAAGCTGAAGATGCTGGTAAACCTGACTGACCCATCATCCTCGCAGCAGGGTCAGTACTGCGGCGGAAGTCTTGCCGTTACCGATTTGAATAAGGACGGGTGCGATTTGCAGTTTTATGCAGAATGCCATCAAATTTTTATGTAGCTGAGTTACCCGTTTTCAGGCGGGACGACATCATAATGGGTTGCCCATTCTACACTGACTATGTGACAGTAAAGGATGCAAAGACTCAAGAACGAAAACCACAGTACGACGTTGGAAAAGTTGTGGTTTTCTATCAGACCGCACCGGTTAGTATATTTCGAGCGCTCGTAATGTTCACTGTCAATGGCATAAATGCATATTCTATCTCAAGAAGTACGGGGGAGGCTCAAACGAACGCAATGCGTACATATGTGCAACGCGTTTACTGACGCCTGCATTCAATCGATAATCATCTTGAACCGCTGTACTCTCTTTTCGGGCAAACGAAAGTGTCATTACTCTTTATATCTCCACTTAGAGGACACTTATGACATCGGCATCAAATCAGCGCTTTTAATGTAACACAGAAAAAATTTTTTAGCATACCATTGCACCGGCATTCTTCCTATGTTAGTCCAGTAGTTTTGACTCAATATAGTGTTTGTGCGGTAACGACAACAGTTGCGCGAAAATAAATGCTTGTGTGTAAAGACAACTTGCTCGCGACTTGCGCGAAAAAATGGCCAAGGAGTGCTTAATGTTAATGTTTGAACGCTCAATATTGGGCTCATTCACGAAAAAAGGATTGTTCATCTTCAGGGAGTATTCGATCGCACATCTGTGCTCGTTGGAGAAGATCAATGGGGTCGCTTCGGTTTTTCGCTAGCTGCCGTTGGAGACCTCAATCAAGATGGTTATAATGGTGCGCTGTATGTCATGTAATTCACGGGTTTATGACAACACATAAATTTTCCAGATTTCATCGTTGGAGCACCATATGCAGGCATGAACAAAGCCGGTGCAGTTTATGTGATGCACGGTAGCAAAGATGGGGTGAGACCGAAATACACGCAAAAGGTAGGTTTGAGGGAGAAGAAGTCAAAAATTGATCAAAGAGATGGAACAAACCCTTTTTAAAATTATAGACAGACTAAAGATAGGGCATGTGTTGTTGCAGTTTGCCAAAAATCTGTATGAAACAACTAAGAAGGGAAAATTTATCAATTCACGCATTTCAGAACAAGCCTTACGCCTACTGAACAAATTATATGTTTCTTTAAAAGTGGCATATTTGAGTGAATTGAAATAGACCTGTAGTCACGGACAGAGCAAAATTTTCTAGAAACAATATGGTCTTATTTTAGATTGAAGGTGGAGCAATGGGGCCAAATATTAAGACGTTCGGATTTGCCGTCGCTGGAGGCGTTGACGTTGATGGAAACGGGATGCCAGGTAAACTTCTGTTACATCTACTAATGTAAAATTCAGTTCTCAAATGTGTCGTTCTTTTTATCAGAAGAGCTTCGCTAACTACTTTATAATATAAAATTTTCTACCAAAACTTAGAATTGATACGCGTGAATAGTTTGCGATTTATGTATTTTGATTTTTGGTTGTTGCCATCATATTTTCGAAGAACAGCGGCTTTTCAGTTACCAAACTCTGAGTAATCAAGGATTTCTTATTCATTTACAAGAAGCATCAGAGTTGACATGATAAAGCAGCCAACTAAATCTTAAAAGTACCAAAAGTAAAAGTACTATGTCATCGTTGCCATTGGTCTTCTTTTAGTAACAGCAAAATTTGCATAAACTTTATAAGTTGGAATGCAATAACAGAATATGGCACTGAGAAAGTCTTTTACACTCCAAAAACAGTTCTTTACTTTCTTATAGTAGAGCGAAAAAATTATTGGACTTGAAAATTGATGAGGATATATTTCTGGGAATGCAGCTCCGCTGTCTGAATCAGCTCAAATTAAGATCATGCTGGTTTGATATAAGTGAAGACATTGTTCACACTGAAAAGTCATCTTAAGCAGAGACGTTCAATTCTAGAACTTTGCTCATGCTTTTCTAGGAATAATATATGCTAGCCATTGGCGTACCGAGGGAATGGGTCGCGAAATTTTGGAAAGTTACTTATATGGGTTATAAAAATGTGCAGGGGACTTGTTTGTACTTGTAAATAATTAGAATAATAAAAAATTTTAAAAATTCTTAGCCTTGTGAAAAATTTTTTTCGGGGGCTTTAGGGGTTGGAGACCGCAAAAACTTCAAAAAGCACCACTAAAAATTTTTCGGATTTTTGTCTTGTCGCCCCCCCCCCGAGCGGACATCCTGGATAGGCCACTGATACTAGCCAGTCTTTAAAATACATATTGCGAACTGAAGCCAGGAATTGGCTCAAACATACCGCATAATATTCACAACATATTCTGGGAACTTTGCCTCTCTTCTCTTCCTCTAGTTCTTGCAAATACTCTTCAGGCTTTCTACCATGATATGTTGCATTTACTTGCTTTTTTCTCTGCTTAGCTCATCTATCATTTGCAACACGATGCACTTTGATAAATGACTTCTGCAGTATCTTCATCAGCTAAGTTTACATTCTTAACAAAAGAACGGAACACTCATGAGTACAGGGAGGGACCAGCACAACAGTATTTGTAATCTCAGCTCAGATAATATGATGAATAAAGTAAATGAAGCAGAAGGAAACGAGAGATTTAGTTCGTTGCTGGAGCAATTGAAAAACTCTGCAAAATCCACGAAAATAAGCATTGCATATGCAAAGCGGAATTATCTAGTAGAGTACTCTTACCTTTTGCTGTCTCTAATCTCTGCGAGAAGAACCGAAAACAATTACAATCAATGTTGAATTCGTATTGAATACAATCTCTGCTAGAAGTTGTTCGGAATCTCTGCAAATTAACTGCAAATAGAATTAAAGAATTTTCCTATCATGCTCAATCTCTTTTTATGGTATCGACAATTTTTCCGCAGATCAGTATATTTAGAATCACATGAAAACGTTTCGCGAAAAAACCTCAAATTTTTAGGCTTTTGCGAATCAACAAAGAATTTAATTTGGTAGTTTCAATCATTAAATCATCGAGAACATCTCCTATTTTAGACGTTGCTGTCGGAGCCTGGAAAAGTGGAAATGTAGCGGTCATGACAACCAAACCCGTAGTCACTGTGACTGGACAGACCGATGCAGATGGTGTAACTATCAACATCGAAGACAAGAACTGCGACGTCGATGCCAAACTTGGCAAGCAGTCGTGGTGAGTAGAAGTAAATCGAACTTGAGCTTTTCTAGCAGAATTTGCGCGGGAATAAACTTTGAAGCAAGCTTTTCAATGCATTTCAAAAAGATTTTGTTTCTTGAAGCGGAAGTTTCCTATCTGTTGCCCAAGCGAGACTCATCATTGGTTTCCGAAAATAGCTATGAACTCTTGCCCAAAACGTATCTTTTCCATGTAAGTCAGCTTGCACGATTACGGTAGTGGGAGACAGTTTACAGTTGAATTTCTCTGACACTGATAAACCATGTGAGCTGCTACTTGGGATGGCTTGATTGAGATTTTTCAGTCAGTCTACATAAATGATTCAGAGTCTGAATAACTTTGATCACCTCAACTTCTTGAATGTAATCTAAAAATGAAATTGAGCTACTGTCTTTCCATTCCAGTCGTAACATCAACACTTGCTTGCGATACGAAGGTAGAGGTGATACTCCGAATGATCTCGAATTTGTTCTACGTTACAATCTTGATGACCATTCACCTGAACCAAGAGCTTACTTCTTGCATAAGGACGTGGTAAGTCCTTTACTACATGCATCTTCTAGACTTGGATAACTAGGGAGAACTTTTCTAGAAAGCCGATCGAGATATAACTGTTGCACCAGAATCAAAAACCAGAGATCATCCAAACATTATCGAGAGACGAGTACGTCTCGAGAAGAACCGACAAAAGTGCTTCAAGCAGCGTTTCTTCGCTTCTAACACCATGAGGTTAGCCCTTTTTTTGATTTTTCTTGAGGTGGAAAAAGTCCATTACCGCCGATAAAAGAGCTTCCATTTATAAGACCGAAGATTATTTGAAACTGACTTACATTCGTTGGACATACAGCTACCAAAACCTTTGATTTAGGGATAAACTGTCGCCGATTCATTGGTCCGTAAACTACACCTACGTGGAGTCCAAAACAGGCAGAGTCAGAGGAGGCCAACTTGAGCCAGCTATAGACACCACCGTGCCCTTGGCTTTCGAGAACAAAGTATGTGACTAAAGAAAAGAAAACATGCTTGGGAAAATTAAAAGCAGACTTATGAATTTTTGGGTAGTTATCACAACACTGCGCATAGGAGGATGATAAGGAATTGCATCTTTTGTAAAAAACTAAGTTTTGCTGAATGTTGAATGCTAAATGTTTTCCTGGCTCTTTTAATGAGCCAGGAGAATGATCTCCAAGTATCAATGTTCAGAATGTTTGATAAGTCAGAAGTACGTTAGCGTAGAGAAATTACCTTCCTTCTTCCCCAGCTCTCTTAAGTATAAAAAGCGCAAGAACCCAGAGTGGTCCATACTGAATTAAAAATGAAATTCTAATCTGAAAAATTTCATCACAGAGGTAGAACTGGACGAGGATCATTTTTGTTTTAGGTTCAAATCTTTCAACTTAAGGCAGTCAGCAAAAATAAGACTGATATGGTAGCACACAATCTCGAAAACCTGTACCAGAACCACCACTGAATAGAGAATTTACATGAAATGATTCTGACAATATCCTGTTTGCCATAGTTCATTTTGACATTGAGTATAATCACAACTTCAGTATTTCTACACCTCAGCCTGAATAACGATGTAAACATTGATAACTACTAAAAGTTATGTTTTTGATAAAGCATTTTTTTACTAATTTAGATCAACATCGCCAACAACTGTGGAAAAGATGATGTGTGCATTCCTGACCTCAGAGTACAAGCAGCAGCGTGAGTCCCACTTTTATGGCCACTCAAAAACCAAATTATTTTCCTTCTTTACAGTGACAGAGAAAAATTCATGCTCGGCACGAAGGACAACTCAATGATTGTCAATGTGACTGTGCAAAACGGTGGAGAAGATTCATACGAGACAAAGTTGTTCTTCGATGTCCCGGAAGGCTTTGAGTACAGCGGGGTGGTGTCCACGGATGAGAAGGTAATTTCTAAGAAATCCGTTTTTAGTTCTCTATTTAAACCACAAGATTACAGACAGCTCCAAGCTGTTCTCCAACAACAACTGAACCAAACGAGGACGGTAGCTGGACTTTTGCCTGTGAACTGGGAAATCCCCTACCACAAGATAAAACACTCTCGACTGCGGTTAGAATCACAGCCAACGAGCAGAAACCGCCCCTAAAACCCATCGAAATCCGAGCCTATGTCAACAGGTAGCTTATATCTAGATTTTTCAAAGAGTATTTGCAAGATCCAAGTCTTACAGCACCAATGAAGAAGATGAAAGCACCTCGAATGATAATATGATTGCGTTCACCGTACCAGTGGACTTCAGAAATCAACTTACTCTTAACGGTAGATCAAATCCTGAACAGGTTGGTCTTCTTGCACTAGCAAAATCTATTTTATCGCTTTTTGATCATGACTTCTTTGACCCGCGGGTTTCTTTTAGGCTAAGAAGTCAATTTTCTTAGAAGTTCTTTTTGTTGGTTAAATACAACACAAATACAAAAATGCACTTTATCGTTTCTTACAAAGCTGTCCCTAAGAAATGATATCGTATATCTAACCTGTTCTGAGACGAGCATCTTGTTTTCTGCAAATTATTGGAAAATACCAGTGAAACGAAAAACAGAACTAGCTATTTTGGTCTATGGTATGGGAAAAAATCTGGGTAAAAACACCATATTTTGCACAAACCATAGTATGCGATATGGTGACCGTCGCCTGCTCACAAAAATGATTCGTTGTCAGTACTAACTCTATATGATATTTTTATTTTATTATTGTTTTTCCAAAATTTTGTCAATACCATGCTTATTGGATGGAATTTTGAAACGTATGTGAGATTATCAATGTTGTGGAGCAAAGATATTCAAAGTGAAAACCAGAATGATGACTCTATGAAACGATACTGTATAGATGAAGAACTGAAATCTAGCAGTTTCCCAAATTGGGGTCTCTTCTTTGATTTTGGTTAGAACTACCAATAGAATGATGATCAACCTCAAAGTCGTCATGAAAAAAATGTTACCTATTCAGGTTGACTTTTCTACCCGAAACAAAACTCCAACTGATGTCTTTGATGACAGTGAAATCGGACCGGTTGTCAGTCATCTATACCAGGTATTGATACAAATGATATTTATATGAGAGATAAAATTTGTGATTTCTTAGGTCTCAAACCGAGGTCCATCCGAAATTGATTCGGCCACTCTTGATATTTTCTGGCCATCATTCTCAACTGAGGGTGGTCATTTGCTCTACATGATTACCGATCCTGTCATAAGCGATCCCTCTAAGGGGAGATGTCGGGTAAAGCAAGTGCAGAACATTAACCCACTCAACTTAAGGGTAGGTTGCCTTTAAAGCCGTTTTGGCAATTTTCCAAGAACCTTTTCAGGTGACCAACGAACATCTTGCTACCGAGAGCTTCAATCGCCTACCAGGCGTTGACTACGAAGGTGAAGTTGAAGAAGAAGGAGTAAGAGACGAAGGAGGTGGTGGCGACATCAGAGGACATGTTGGAGACGTAAGAGGACATGGTGGAGACGTAAGAGGAGGACACATTAGAGAAGGCGAATTGGATGAAGAAGAGGAAGAGTGGGAGGAGGGAGATGAAGGAGAAGAAGAGGAAGGAGACGAAGAAGAAGAGGGCATAATTGACTATAGTGAAACGCAGGTCAGTAGCTTTTTATCTCCTTACTGTGGTAATCTAGTGAGGTTTGGTGCAATTACACACAATTAAGTTACTTAAATGCCTAGAATTAATTGAAGTCACAGGCAGAGTAAAAAATCCGCAGCATACATTGTCGAAATTACAGTCAGGTATAGTGTGGACCCCGGCCAGGTTCCCATAGGTACTTCCGCGGCGCGCACGCAGCGCCTGCCCTTCCTAATGCTTCTCGCCTCATTCATGAGCAGTAAAGTGGAAACCTCTAGGTTCGCTACGAAGGAGACGTATGCAAGAATGAAACGCAGGCAACTTCCATGAGCACCTCAAATTCAATCAATGGATGCATATTCCGAACTTGCACTGATGGATAGGTTGTAATAGGTAAACGTAGAGATAAAGAACAACAGCATTTTTAGAACATTTCTCTTCGTAGACATAGAAACTAAAGTGGTCAAAGATTTCAAAAAAAGTGGACATTTTAGTAAACAATGCCTATTGGCTTCTCGGAAGGCTCAATTTTGACTTGCGACACTGTCTACATCTTACATATCAAACCTAAAGGGACTTTTATTTTATACAAGAAACTTTTGAAGGTGTATTATCTTAATATCCAAACAAATTTCAATTTTTCAGGGAAAGAAGGGAAAAGACAAGACTACTAATTTTTCAGAGAAAGAAGGGAAAAGACAAGACTACTAAACAAATTGAAGGTCCTAGAACTATTAGAGCACGTGAAATCTCGTCACCGGTCATCGCGAATTGTTTATATCTGAAATAGAGAGAATATAGTACACCAAAAATTAAAAAAAAGAGAGAGAAAGGAGGATTTCCATCGGAAGCTAGGACAGGAGACGCACTGAAGGCGTGCGTTGCGGGTGCGTCGCGCAGGTACCTGCGGGAAGCTGGCCGGGGTCCACACTATAGATGCTATTTTGTGCAATCGCACACAGTACACGTTTGCGCAAGTTTGCAAACTGGCTGATCATCGCGCTGGATTTCCTTTGAAAAAGCGACTATGCATTTTTCCCACACTTATAATCAAAAGAAGGGATGAGACATTTCACACAAAAAATACAGACGACCTCTGACAAAATTCCAAAAATTCGCGCATTGTATAGACCAGTAGATTTTGTAAGTCTAGTATCCCTGCATTGCCGACAACATTTGCGCGGAAAAAATGCATGCCTATAAACGCCCGAATTTGCTCTTAACTTATGCGTAAATGTTGCCATAAAGCGTACATTGTTATTTACGCGCAGATGTTGTTGGCAACGCAAGAACACTATATATCACTAAATTCAATGGTAGCCTATACCTTTTTTTAGTTAGTGGCAACTTGGTAACGTCCTCATATCTAGTCGGTACCCAATATTTCAAATTTAGTACAATTGCACTCGCTGAAAATTTTATAACAAAAATTTGAACCAAAGCTTGAAATTTTCCGATTTGTTTTTTCCAGAGCTACGTCCCCAAAACTCATTCACCACACCCCACAGGAGCTCGAAGGGGCGAACAAAGAACACGGACACGAACACAAACACAATTGGTGAAACCCCATGTGATCGGACCCGGAAGCGCAGGAACGGGAACAGGAACAGGAACACAGGAGATTCGACGCCGTGTCGGTACATCCCGTACCAAAACTCCGACCGTATATGACGCTGGTAGGAGCCATTACGCTCACGAAGTCGTGGCTCATGGTGGAAATCCCGACACCGAGAGGAATCATCGCTATGAAGGAGACGGTAGACCCCACACCCACATCGAAAAACCCATAACTGCTACACTCGGACCACGAGGTTATCCGACGACCCATAGCGGAATTTCCGGTATCGGACGTCAAGCTCACGGGACAGTTCATGGCGGAGCTTCCGTTGGCGGAAGAAGTGATAAGGTGCAGTTGGTGGCGTCGCACGGCAGCACCTCTGGTCTCACCGGAAGAACCCACCAAACCCCGCCTGTCATCGTCGCCAAAGCAGAACAAGAAGGCGGAAAGCATGTCGTGACACAGGGTGCTACCGGTGGCACCCGTGTAGCCATAACACATGGCGGTGCTGGACCCACGCATGTGGTTACGGCAAACGGAGTTGGAGGCAAGAGTCATTTTGTGTACGAAGAGAAACCGAGGAAGCAGGTGGAGTACGAGTACATTCCGGATGAGGATTATGAGGAGGAGGATGAGGACTACGAGAGAGGCGGAAGTAGGATAAAGAGAGAAGCAAAGAAGAAGATCAAAACAACGAGACTCAGACCTGACGGAAAAGTCGCGCCCGGAGGTAAGAAAAATCTTCAAATCATTGCCGAATGAGCGCGGTCCACCAAACCAAAAGACCACAAGGCTTCGTGGCGGCTATCATCCGTATCATTCTGAGCCTCATGCGCCTCGTGTTGCGTCCAAAGTTATATATACTCGTGCCCTTCCAGCGTCGTGCTAGCATCGTGTTAGAACGTTTATCGATCAATACCTGGCACGTCCATGTGCGTTACGGCACGGCATTAGCACAGCGCTGGAGCACCGGCACTTTGGACGCTGACTCAGAGATAACAAAACCGCGTTCGCTAGGCCATCGCCTTCATTCGGCACTTCCATTCACGCTTTTCTCAAACCCTGATATTTTTAGAGAAAGCCCGTTTTGCGGACCTACGTCAAGCTGTAAAAGATTCAAAAGATGCCGGTGGTGCCATCGACTATCAAGGCATTCTGAGTCGAGCCAGTGTGGACTGCAACTCACTTCGATGCACACATATCGAATGCGATCTCCACAACATCAAAGAGAATGAATTTGTACTTGTTGAGGTACGTACGACCAATTCAATCGCTCTAGTTAACTAAGCATAATTATCATTTTCAGATTTTTTCACGGTTATACACCAATACACTTGTCGACGAACGAAATCCAGGCGGTGAAGTGTCATCTTTGGCTCTCGCACGAGTAACAAACACCAAGATCAACTGGCCTCATAAGCCCACATTAGTGACAGCGGTAAGCTTCATGACATTCTCAACTGTCTTTCAAGATATCATCGAGCTTCAAAGACATATCATCTGGGTTCTTGATTTGCAAAAGTGAGTGGGAGACATCGATTGCGTACTTCCCGAGCGGTAACTACTGTGATTCATTTGTGACCGAGAAATTCATCTCTATTCGCAGCCCCAACCGTTTTTTTTACTCGAGAATGTTATTATTAGGCTCGGAGGATCAGTCTGGGCAGTGCAAAGAACTTTACGGCCTGATTAAGTAATGGCTTTATCAAGGTTTCCCAATCAGCCACATACAGCTGGGCACTCTTTGAAGTTGGTTGGTTGAAAAAAAAAGTTACTAGTGGATAATAAAAACAGGCAAAAATTAAACCATCTTCGCGAGGAACTTGCCAAGACAATATTAATTTGAAAGCGATATTTTTCAGGCCAGCATATCTCGAATTCACCGACAGCAAAAATTTATTACAGGTAACCACCTCTTTGAACGCCATTGACGACGAAGCTTCAGCAGCCGGTGTACCATGGTGGCTGTATCTACTAGCCATACTTATAGGACTTGTTCTTCTTTCTCTACTCATTCTGTTATTGTGGAGGGTATGTTAAGCACCCTCTGTACTAGTTATTTCTTCCAAAAGGGGGCGTTGCTTCGGACAAATGGTCTTGCCATGTGTGCATGACGTGCAAGGACCAGAAGTCAGGGCAGCGCTCCTCTTTTGCGTAAAGCTATTCCAGTCTGTTCATAGTTTAGTTATTATAACGGTTAACATAGTGTCAGTGCGGGGACGACAACATTTGCTCGAAAACAAATGTCAAGCATGTGGATGCCACCAAATTGCTTGCGACTTTGCCATAAAAAAGGCCATTGAGCGCATAATGGCTATCCTACGCGCAAATGTTGTCAGCAACGCAAACACACCACATTAACTGAATCATACGCTGGTTTACACTTCATAAACACTCAATGACGATCGTTTCAGTGCGGCTTCTTCAAGCGGAATCGGCCACATACCGAAAAAGCAGAGCGCAAGGAGAATCGCGACCCCGATGGCCGCTACGCCGACACAAAAACGCGTTACGCTGGTCCGGACACTTATAATCCGGAAAGTCACGGTCATTTGCTGTGACCGTAACCTCAGCTTCACGCCATCCTTGAAAGAGATTCTACTCCCCAGTCGCCATTGCAATGTTTTGTAAATAAGTTTATTAAGTTATAGAAATGTTTGGTGGTAGATGTCCACACGTTACCCAACGCAGCCCAAAGCATTTCGGGTTTCTTGTTCTTGACGACCGCGCATTCTTTCTTGCACCACTTTCTCACTGATTTCAAGTCATATGTCTCTCATGTTCACAGCTTGCCTATATGTATGTCTTCAGCTTGCACAAATGTACTGTCATGTGATGACACTATATTTGCGCAAGATTTCTCATGTGATATTAGATGTTTTCTTCAAGTTTTTTTTCTTTGTTTATTTTGTGTTTTCTGAGATCTACCTTGTCGGTTAGGTACCAGTGAAGAGCTCGCGACGCGGGCTCTCAGTCAAACCAACATGACCGATCCCTCGTGATGCTTCAAGTGCCTTAGAAGTGTGCTACTAAACTCACTCTCATCGCTCAACTTTTGTTATGACACAGTGCTTTAATGAATGGCCACAAGTCTTCCGTCATCCTAAAGTCATCTCTTATGCAGTATTTTTCTATTGTATGTGCAGAGAACATTCAACTAATAAAAATTTCATCATAAATGACAACCGTTTAATAAAATTTTTATATAAATGACAACCATAGTACCCCATGAAGATGTAAAGGCAAGAATACACGACATTGAGCAGCACACAAGATGCTTAAGAAAAAAAAACTTTCTAGGTTTTGGCTGCCTTTTTCCGCCTGACAAGCTCAACTAATTCTTTCAATCGTTGTTGGCATTGTTCTTTCGTCTTTGTAGGTACTGCAGCCGCAATTTTGTCCCACCTATAAAAATTTATAATCAGCGCTTTCTTTCAATCGAAGCCAGGCACATACGGGACCTTAACTTTCAATGTAAATAATAGAACATCTTAGTGAGGCCAAAGCTTGAACGGTTATTTTTGTGATATAATCGTAGCCGATAAATCCAACTCTAATATCATGACCACTACCGTGTCCGAGGACAAAGACTGTAGCACGGAAAGAGTACAGTACTGGGCTTGACCTTGATATTCCCAATCAGTTCCATCAGTGAATAGTCTGGGGTTTGTGGAAGTTATCAAACAAAATAAAACATACCTGTCCTCGCAACCTTTGGGATATTGTTGCAGCGCGCTTTCAAGCTCTTTCTGTTCAACCTGCGTCCAATCCTGATGACTCTGTAACATTTTATGGAAATGAGTGAAATCTTTCTTTGGATATCTGAGCATTGTTGGCGAGAACTGTTGAAATAGCCCATCTATCAGCCCTCTAATAAAAACATTCTTGTAACAAGTTCGACATGCATTATACAGGGTGTCCCAAAAGTAAGTACACACTTTTCAATCATCAATATCTTCCTTCACATTGTCTCTTTTTCCGCCATTTAAGTATAATTCTTAGAGGAGGCTTTAACTTAGAGTTACAGTATCGCGCGAATCATCGATCGCTCTTCGTTACTGTAGGATTACGGTGGGAACTTCGACACCTCGAAACAAAACCAAACAAGCCGTAAACTCTTATACTATGGTAATCCAAGCCGCCGATTTCGATTATGAAACTTCTAATTTACTGTGATGCTTCTTTCCCAAGCTATCCAAGGTAAACCGTAATAAGCGAATCCCTCATTTTGTCAGAAATGTGATTACACCGTCAAAAAAGCTCAAAACACTCGTAAAAAGTTGTTAGTCGAAATCAGCATGCGCGAAAACCCTAGTACACGATTTTTCGGATTTTTTGAAGAAAAATTCGTCAGATGGCATATATCATAGTGGTTTCACATGCTGGAAGTTCTCCTAATCCTACAGTAACAAAGAGAGATCGGTGATTTGTTCTACTGTAAATCTAAGTTGAAGCCTCCTCTACAGAATGGCACTTGAATCACAAAAAAAGACCCATTGGGACGAGAGATATTCACGATTGAAAAGTGTGTACTTACTTTTGGGACACCCTGTATTTATATCATTAAAATATGTAAAGATACGAATAACTCCAAAGTAGGCAGGAACCATTTTACCAGTGAACTGTCTTTCCAATATATACGCATAAATGACTCAACTAAAACGGTGACAAAATCATCACGATAAGTACACAAAATTTTGACACTGATCTTCGTTTGCGGCATACTTGGAAGTAGCAAGTCATAAGCAAAATTTAGTATTTCAACACACCACCGGTAACGACTCAGTGATTGTGCCAGTGCCCGCGGTCTTACCGCTTCTTACATCGATGTCAGCAGTGGTTTGTTGACCCATAGCAAGCTTTTCGTATTCTTCCTACAAAAGACAGTATTTCATTCATTATTCACATGCAAACTCTATAAGTGTTTCCCTAACCTGTTTCATGTGTTTCAACTTCCCGGCCATCACAGTCACATCCTGAGCAGTTCGGTTTAGCGCACGAGCCATACATTCCCAACGATTCGGTGTGCCCAAAACAATCCACAAACTAGGATAATTCAGAAAAAGATGTAATAAATTTCAACATACGGAAAACTCAGGATACCTGGAGGGAACTTTTCTGTGCTAAGACGTACCAATTGATAAAGTTCTTCACATGACCAGGGAGCTCCACTTTGTTCTACAAAGAATGCAATTTTTCTACGCCATAAGAAAGCTTTCTTACTTCTTTGCGCCTCTTCAGCTTCACTTTCGTACTTCGCCAACACTTCCGGGCTGCTGGTGCTGACTGCTTTGAGGTCTGTAGCCACTTCGTAGGTGAATTCTGGCTGACGGGGAGCAGGTGGCGGTCTGTGCGGCGCGTGGACCTCCTCCTAAAGCTTATTATTATTATCCGTGAACAAGAGATTGAGCGTAACAAAGAAAACTAAGTATGCACAAAACAGGAAATATTATAACAAAGGTTCACCTCTTCTTCTGGCTCCTTCGGTTTCAGCTGTTCTTGCGCAACAAAGTTTGCAAACTGAAATTTCCTATTCTGTTGGAAAGAAAAACTTATCAAAGCCAAATAAATCTCTCAGCACATGAACGTACCTTCAGAAGATTCCAGGAAGCCTTTGCCATTAGGAATGGTAACAAATCACGGAATCTTGGTCGGAACACTTCTAGAGCTTCGTGCAACTGTGTTACATTACCTTCGCTTTCACCTTTCTTTTCACGCTTTCGCGATTTTTTCAAGCTCTAAAGAACAGAATAGAAAATACAGTTGAAATATACATCATACACATTACCTGCTTCAACACTAAATACTTCTCATAATAAGCAGCCCACATCATCAGATAATGAGCAATAGTAGAGACAGCAATCAGAACAATGACGGCTTCGTACCAAGCCAGCTTACGCATTTTCCTAGGAAGTGTGAAAGGTGCTATGAATAAAAGAGTTGTAACATGATTTGTACCTGTAGTAGTAGATAGGCTGTCGCCAATCGGGCAAGCCGAACTCCAAAACATTGTTGTACTTCTCTCTTAACTCGTTCGACTTCAAAACCTCGTATATGGAGACTATCTGAAGAAAAAACTTTGCTATTTAAAGAGTCTCTATCCAAAATACCAGATAAATATAAGCAAACGGAAAGGAAGGCGAGAACATTGGGACGGCAAGTAATATAGTACGCAATGCATTGTAGGCTTTATTTAATCTGTTCAAAATTTCGAAAAAGCAGCTTATATCCATGATTAGTGAGGAAGCTGAGCACGCGCTTACCCTCACAAGTCTTCAAAGAAATGCGATTTAGCGAGTACTTAACGAGAAGAAAAACAAATGGAAACCATTAGAAGGTCAAAAAATCCGCTACAAAACTAGGAAAGCAAAACTAACAAAAGCACAAGAGCAAATGAGAGCAAACAAAGCATCAACCAAACCATGACGCTGAGCATTGTCTACATACTATACGATTCGAATGTGCTGAGTAAGAAACTAGAGGACAGAAAACGCTGCAAATGCCGGAAAACTTCTGACAAGAGATGAAAAGAATGAAGCATATTTATCACTGAATTTGCACCACAACGGTATTTCCTGGTTTGGGAAGTGGTGAGAAAAAAAGCGTCGCGACCACACCACACATGTTTCATGCATAAAAATAACCATTATCTTTGCTGCAGTTATTACTCAAAGAGGATAACACTTGAAAACAAAAAATGTTAAGGCCAGGGCCCGGCACGAGTCCGTTTCTAGACTTTTTTTTTAAACGAAATCGTCCCTGAGTTCAGCAAAATTTGAGTCCCTTTGACCAAAATCGGAAATGTCATCTGAAAAAAAAATTGGTTTTTGTGTTTTTTCGGACACACAAAAAAAGTCCAGTCTGCTTCCAGAACATCTCTGCGACGCCCTATTCAAAGCTTTTACAGAAAGTGAAAACATGATTCTTCGGACCCACAGAAACGATACCACTTTAATTTTGTCCGAAAACGAAGTCCAGCCTGCTTCCAGACGACCTGTGCCAGGCCATGTTTAAAGCTTTTCCAAGAAGTAAAAACAGTCTTATTTTGAAGATTTATCTATCAAAACCATAAGAGCTGTAAAAGCAACACCATGGGAGTGAATTTAGAGCCTGATAAGACACACCTGCCTGAACTTCTGAGTAGCTTCCTCTGCTGAGTTCCTATCCGGATGCCATTCGAGACTGAGGCGTCGATACGCTTTCTTGATTTCTCCAAGTGTTGCCTCCTAAAACGCCGTGGGACATAAAAGCAGGATGAGTGCACAAAGATGACTATTTTAGAATTGTCCAGGTTACTACGAGACTATTTTCCGACAATTTTCGACTGAGGTCAAACTGGGCTTATGTGGAAGTAATATTGACTCAGAAAGCTGTCAGTACTTTGTGGTGCACAGGTCTCAACTTGTGAGACGAAGCGTTCGAGCAAAGAAAACGAAATACTGCAAAGTCTTCGCTTTCAGGAGTGAGTTATACCGCTAATTAGCTGTTTTTGCACTGTTTTCCCCATCAGAAAGCACACATTGATGGTACAATGGAAGTTTGCGAAGCGCTGGGGACCTATAGAAGTGACCACCCTCGAAGGTATCTGCCTCTTTCCCCCCTCCCGACAAGCCTGCACGGGGGACAAACCAATCCCACCCTGTACAGTTGATATTAACATTACCAAGCCGTTGCTTACCTTACTGATGCCGAACAGATCGTAGAAATTCGTATTGACTTCTTCCACCAAATCATACAAAGCAAGCTCCTCAGAGTTCCAGGAAGAGCAGACATTTTCGACGGTGACGAACAAAAGCAGAATCGATGCCAACGGCATCATGCGGGAGCCAAACCTGAGAATTCTACGAGTGCTACTGCAATCCGCACATTAATCGGTGGACACGCGGAGCGTCGTCAATTCAATTACAGAGGCCGCGATTGCGGGCGCATGTGGGTGTGACGTCACCGCGTTCCATCACTCGCGAACCCAAAAATCGCCTCGGAACAGCCGCTATTTCATTGTGAAGATGACCTTGGCGCTGTGCTAAGCTCTACGAGATGATGTTGGATGAGAACGGAGGTGGAATGGCCGGCAACGACCTGAGGACGCTGATCGAGTCGCGCATTCCTGAACATCGGAATCATCTGGAGACGAGTCACGTCAACCTCGAGAATGTCGCAGCTTATTGTGAAGGAAATTACCTAAATGCTCATGTAAGTGTGTTGATGTGTTTTTCTTGGCTTCAATATCTTCAAAATATGATCACCACTTTTTAGTTTATTTCTTTGTTTTTATTTTATTTGCTTTCTGAGTGTATCTTCTGAGTATGTCCAAGTGTGGAACAATTACATTCCTTTTGATCTAGTTTTGCTCTATGTTGATATTTGAACAAACAGAAGAAATCACGATAATCTTTCATTACTCCATTTTTGATGCAACGATCTTTTTGGGGATGTTGTCAATATTGTAATCTTGTTCGTTTCCCAAAAATCTGCCTGTTTTTTAAGGATCGAAATGCGGCCTTCGAAGAAACTAAACAGTTTGCTTTGCAATCACTAGCAAGTGTGGCTTATCAGATAAATACTCTTGCAAGGTTCGTTATCATCGACGAAACTCATTTGCGAGTATCTAGGTAGATGTTTTGTTTTTCAGGGATCTGTTGGACATGCTGGATTTGCAAACTGACAAGATTTCGAGCCTCACCGGGCAAGTGGACAATATCGACGTGGTGAGTGAGAAATTTTGATTAAGAGTTAAAGTTGATTATCTCATATGACGTTTAATTGACCCTTACCTGTTTCTTTCTTTATATCATATCAGAGTGGTTTTTCTACCAGTCTTCCTCTGCTGCTGAAGATTGTTCCAGGTTGTCAACATCCATAAGGAGAAGCTTGCTCGACGTGAAATCGGAGCCCTCACAACGAACAAGTCATTGCAGAAGCAACCAAAAATCATAGCTCCTGCAACACAGGTGAGTCAGCAGCTTATCGCAGGTAGTTCTTATGAAACTGACATTGCAGTGGTATCTGTCGTGATTTATGATTTTCTTTTTCATCTCCATGCATATGGTAATGTTTGTTTTCTGGCACTTTCGTCTAACCGTGAATAAAAAAGGTTTTGAAATGGCATCCAATAACGTCATGATCTATTAATCTTGCCTGCTTCTGTCCTAGTCTATCAGTTTATTTCAGGAACCTGTCCAACGATATAAACGTACTCCTATAGATTTCTCTGTACTGGATGGCATTGGTCATGGTGTACGCGTCGAGGTATGTGAAAGGCCTTTCAATTCTTCCCTTATGAGCATCCAAGTGTTTAGGTTCCATATCAAAGTCGAGCAGGCTTGATTTCTCGCGCAGCTTCCAGCGTGTCCGGTTCTCAGCAGTATGGTGGACATTACGCTCAATATGAGCGGACAGCTAATATCGGAACCAATACGGTAGGTTTCAGGTTTTGACTTTGTTTTCCGAAAAGGAGCTAAATGTAAGAGCAAGGCAGCATAACTCGGCTGGATGTAAATTTGCGATTCTTTCATGTTTTGTCGTTCTTTATATTTGTATTTCATTTTTTCTACGTTTCAGAGCATTGAATGACATGTTTATACATTATAGAAAGTCTTTATTCTGTGGTTGCTTTTATTACTCAACCTTTAGCTTGGTCGCTCATCGGTTCGCAGTGGTCACCTATCTCTGACTCCTTCGGATCACTACAGAGTTCCTTTGGTAGGGTGATGACCTTTTGTATAAGGCTGTAAAAAATTGTATGAGTGCTTGTAGGTTATGCCATTGATCGATCACCAAAGATATATCCCCTCCCAGCAACATCAGTCTGGTAGTGAATATGGAAGTCAAGTAGGCTATCGAGCCGCTGACTCTGATGCAGCGTCCGATTTTGGAAGAATCAGCGTGCAGGACAGATATGGTCAATTTGTCATTTATTTTTGTATGGGATTCCAACTGCATTTTTACGGTTCAGGGACCTTACGATTACATCAGTCACAAGTTCCACGCGCCTCTATGGTTGATGGGGGAAGCGTACTTAGCGAAGAAAGGCCAGATTCTCCAGGTTTCCCGTTACCGCCACCCCAGCTAAGCTCAAATTATGGATATATCGGCATGACAAGAGCTGAAGGTTAGCTTTGCTTTGAATTTTTTATACACAATTAATATATTTGTACGTTTTTACAGAGCTTCCTCCTCCCGCTATGCAAATGTTGAACTCAACCCATGAAGATGAACCTCTTCCGCCACCTCCACACTCACAGGCCAATTTCTTCGACGCACAAGCTGACTGGATTCCTCGAAATTACATAGAAAAAGGTAGGTTTTTGTTATAAATGACTTTTCAAGGATGGTCATATTTATTTCACTTTTTTTATCCTGAAGTTTTGAAAAATATCGCTTGAGTTACTTATCGTTCAATGGTTTTCTAAATTTTATGACTAAAAGTTCGAAAAAGGGCTTTTTAGAGTCAACAGATCGAACTATTTCATATCTGACATTTGTTGCTCTCTCGCACTGATTTTACCCATCTCATGAGCATGTCACCAGCAGAATTATAGAAATCGATCAAGAGTAATGCAATCTTTTCGTGATTCTCGTGTTTAGTCAAAGTTTTGTTCGGTTTCATCCGCATGTTTCTGTTTTTGGAGACCGTTGATAGTAGGCTTAACTAATTCTTAAGAACATAGGCCTTCCGTGCTCTTCTACGTTGTATGCATCGCAGACTTAATCTTGACTCAGCTTTTCATCCTTGATGTACAGCAATGGTCGTCTCACATTACGTCGTGTTGAAAATAACTATTGATTCCCCTATTGAAATACGTCGCTGCATATGATTTGGAATACGATTTCAAATTACAGCTGTTGCACTGTACGATTATGATGCTGACAAACCGGATGAGCTTTCACTACGGGAAAATTGCATCGTCTATGTACTTCGAAAAAACGATGATGGATGGTTCGAAGGAGTTTTGGATGGAGTCACTGGACTTTTCCCTGGCAATTATGTTCAACCTGTTTGATACCTTACATAAGCTTTCATTTATACTGACCGCCTTTGTATCTGAATTTCTACTTTGTATGCACTGAAGACTTGCAGCTAGATGCTGCTCATTCTTAATGTTGAAACTTGAAGCATCTGATCTTCACGGGTATCAAAGCTCGGTGGAGTTGATTGTTCCATGTTTTACAAAAACATATGCAGTGATTATATTTCATTTCACGTAATGAACTTGATCATTTGATCAATAAAAATCAATACATAAGAGATCTAGCAATATCTGAAAGCATTTACATTGGTGAGGTATGGAAATCACTGAGACTCCGGCAGTGTGCGGGCTTGTGAGTGGTCTTTTCTCCAGAGTCCGACATATAGTCCCTACAAAGATGAGAATTTTGCAATTTGAATATTACCGCAAACTGGGAAATTTAAATTTCAACAGTGTTTTGCGGTAACGACAACATTAGCGCGTAAACAACTTGCTATTAGCGTCAAGAATGACCATTGACAAACATTTGCAAGTTTTTGGCCTATGACAGTTCTTCTGATGCGCAAGTGTTATTGTCACTGCAAGGGCACTTTTTTAATCATCAAGTATACTACAGTGTAAGAAATTCTACCTGGTTATCATATTTTCCATCTTTTTCCTTCGCCTTTTCTTTCGAACTGTTCGATTTTCTTCATGAGAGCTGGACTTTCGTTGCCTTGTAGGGATTGTGGTTACTGAAATTTATGGACTGTAAGCGATAAGCGATATCATCAAATTTGCTAGCAACCTTTTGAAAGCGTTCTTAGTAAGGTTCTGACCGTTTCCGAGAGAATGTCATTTTTGCGATCACCGTCTTGCCTGAAATGCAAGAAAAGAACTTTTTTTTTTTGAAAAAGTTTGCAAAACTGATGCCTTCTTTTCCGTGTCCGGTTCAGCCAGAGGTTGCTTATATGTTGCGTTTCCAGCAGAAAACTTGGTACGCTGTTGTTTTCTGGCTTTTGGTTATCTGTAACACAATTTTTAATGAAGAAAATGAGACACGGTAGCAAATGAGCAAATTTATACCTGCCCTTTCTTCTTCACTCCTTAGTGCGGATGCGTCCAGTCTAATCAACGGTGGAACTTGCCAAAGAAGACAGTCTGCAGATCTTAGGATAGAATTGTAACGGGTCAAGACTGTAGGAAGATCGTCGGTTTCGCATATCTGTCACAAAAAAAAAATTATTTTGGAAAATCTCTAGTTTAATTGTCGTTTCTCTACCTCATTAATTATTTCTTCTATCTCATAGCTTGGAGAAAGATTGTCCACCTCGATCACGACCTCAGTCCCACAAAGAAATAGTTGACGAACTATTTCAAAGTCAAGCGTTCCTAAAAAACCACCCATAGCCCATGTAATGGATCATTCAGCGTAAAGGACTCATTACCATGGCTTATTATAATGGGTGGAGCCCTCTCAATTGTGATACAAAAATGGCAAGTTAGCCAGGAATCGCCGGAATCTACCACTGCTATGAAAGCTTGACGAAACACTTTCATGATGTGGTATACATCTACTGGATGGTCTTCTAAGCTTTGCGACTGGGAAGAAATCATTAGGATGCCATTTTGCTCATTTCTGAAATACATCACATTTTTATTGAAAATGCAAAGTCCACCATTTCAACCAAATTCATAAACGCGGAACTGTTTCATGACATTTTTTTCCTCGATTTCTGGCCTGTTTTCTTCTCCACTGACAAAGTAAGGATACTTGGTCGAAGTGGCATTTCCATAGGATATGCAGACTATCTTATAGAGCATGGAACGCTGATTCCGAATCTGCTGTCGGTATCTGCAAAGCGCTTTTGGGATAGGGGTTATGACAACTTTTTGAGGCAAAAATTCAAGTTTTGATTAAGCTAAAAACGAGTGTTGATGTCTTTCGGCGCTTGAATGGAGTAACTACTATCTCAAATTTATTAGAATGAAGGTATCAGCTGCACGAAGCGTTTCGGTAGTAATCACGATCCTCTCCAAGCTCAGAGACTACAGTTCTGAATGTAGCTCGTCTCAAAATCTTTGGGTCAAAAATTTTTCATAACTTCCCTCTCAGAAGCGCTTTGCAGATAACAAAAGCAGATTCGGAATCAGCGTTCCATGCTCTATAAGATAGTATACATAAGCTTTGGAAACGCCAGTTCGACCAAGTATCCTTCCTTGTGAGAAGCAAAGTTGAATGTGTACAGATACATTCTTCAACAAAAATCAGATTTCTTGAGTCGTTTGCTTTTTGACCTTGAACACTGCAAGACAGCGTATGATTTTCAGCTTCCTTTGATTTCTTAATTGATTAATAATTCGATATCATTTTATGAAGCTTCTCGTCTGAATGGTGTCTGATATGAGTGTTAAAAATCCAGAATATCATACTCCACGTATTGACTTCAACGAATCGTACTATGAAAGTTTTTCAAGAAGTGGATCTCATTTTTCTACATCAAAATCAAGATTATCCAGCTTTTAGACCTACAGCAAGGTAAGTGCTTTCCTACTTAAAAAATCAGGATTCGTCTTTGGAGGAACTTGGTCGGAGAGGACCTGCAGTTTATAGTCGTCCTCACCCCGCTAGTCGGTTCAGTGGACGAATTCGAATTCAAACTGGAGCAGGCCGGTCGCCGCGGAGCGCGGCACCCGAGCCCTCAGTTCAATTCTACGCATATTTCTTTTTGGTTTTTTTGTGCCGTTGCTTGTTAGTTTATGTACTATGCCAATGTTTCTAGCCAAATTTGCGTTTTGTTATTGTAAAGTGTTGTATCGCGCAGTTATGCTCGGTTTTTGTTCAGGTGATTTCATATAAGCTTCTAGAAACGATGCAGATGGCAACTTTTTGTGCCACTGATCACTAAACAACACTTCTGCACGTGTTACCAACAAAAGAGAAAGATTGGAAGAAGTTTCACATCTGTATTGTTCCTGTAATTACTTGTATTCATACTTGAAGCAGTCAGCATAGCAGTCAAAACAATGCTCGACAACAATAAAATAGTATTTTGAAAACGAGTACACTTATAACATGAGGATTAACAAACAACTGCAGTGAAAAAACCATAAAAAACATGCGCAAAACCTGAACTGAGGGTTCAGGTTTGGCGCTCTGCCGCCACTGGCCTGCTCTTGCTCGAATTCAAATCTGTCCACTGACCGACTAGTGGGGTGAGGACGACTATAGCTGAATCACGGTAATGCCCTTGTTTTTCGCAAGTATCCTCCAACCTTATTTTGTATGAAAAAGTTGCTTCTTTTTTATGAGACTTCAACTAAATTCTTAAATGCTCAACTTTGCTCTTCGAAATCTCGTGAAGAATGTAATGCATAGACCCTAGCGCTGGTCGGTATCTCAACTGTCCCATTTGCTATGACGACATCGACGTCTCTTTCCAATAAGGAGCATTTCGGAATTCTTTTTTTCTCAAGATACTGTAGGAGACAACTCTCGTAAAACGTTAGCGTCTCCGTCTCCACGTTTACAGTATTGATCAGTTCATCCCCTGCAAACAAAAAAAGGTTACTAAGTGAGAGCTGAGAGTTGAGATTACCTTCACTTGGTTCCCAAGACCAAGCTAGCTCAATTCGGCCAATCTTGAAGATGTAAACGAACGATTTTTGGTACGATGGTGAGATAAGACGGAATTCTTCTAATGTATTGCAGGTAGGCGCCCTCGCTCGCCTGTCCATGAGGTACTTGCAGGTTTCTGAATAGGCTTTATGAAACATCGAATGTCGATGGGTAGCTCACGGTCTTCTACGAAAGACCGAATCAGTGGCATTCACATGATAATTTATATTTTTTCTTATGTGGGAAGCGCGAAAGGTGTTTTTTTCGAATGATTCCGAAGAGATATAGCATTAACCATGTTTAAAAAAAATTCAGATGCTTCTCAATTTTTTGGCTACATGATCCTGAATCGGTATGGAAGAAGCTCTTACAAGGTCGATCGATGTTCGAGGAATTCAAGCAATATTTCCTTATTTACAGGTAGTTACTTGTGCAACCTCTTTACGAAGAATTCTTGCCGGATTTCGCAACCCATTCTCGTAGAGGCAACGGGGAGAGATGAGGCGGGGGTGGGGGGGGGGGGGGAGAGAGGGCGGTCTAGAAAGTTGAAGGAGCACAATTTTGTTTATTAGTCTTTCGATAACTCAGAATTTCACAGATTGCTTATAATTTTCTTAATTTCTCTGGAGCGGTCTCTTCATCCAAAGGTTCTGGATTTTGGCGAGCTGGTACGAAATAGCCATTTTTCGGGATCATCCTTATTTTATAACATCACCTTACCCATGATGCGCAATTGCTCTTCAAAAGTTTCTTGCTGGAGAACCATGAACACGGTGGCGACTTTGAGTTGAAATTGAAGGGATGAAAACGAGAAGAGTTCCATTACCGGAACTTGCTCAGCAAGAAATTCCTGCACAAGTTCCTGAAAAATGATTCTCGCACCCAAAAGCTTTAGTAGAAGTTGGATAGCACTCACCTCGTACCACATTGGCATCAGCTCGGTCTCGCCGATGTTAGCAGCACAGATGATTTTCTCCACTGCCTGTGCTGCTTCGTGTACCAGATCGTACTGCCCCATGGAGATGAGACCATGGAGATGTGCACGGGATCGGGGAGTCAGGGTTATTCTTTGATGTAGGCACTCTTCAAAGGCCAAGTCGAAAAATGAGCAGAAAGCTATTTCTGGAACATTCCCACATTCATCGCTGATCCAGAAGAAGATGTTTATCCGTACCATTGATCATATGAAGGGTTAGACAGTGTATGGTTTCTTCGACATACCACTGGGAGAGAAGGAATACTTGCTGCAGTACCTCTTCCGTCGTTATATGTCCAAAAATTCCATCAAGCAGAGATGATTGGGAAGAATCTTCATCAGCGAGTGCTGCGATCACGCATGTTGAAGCAGATCTCCAATCTTCCATTCGCACATAGCAAACTAGTTGCAATAAGAGGTTCTGGAACCATTTTTTTTTTCATCAAAACGATCAACCGTACGTGGGATTTTGGAGCTTACATTCACTGGCAACTTCTCCAGAATTAAGGAAGGCATGAAAACGGCCAACTGGACGAGGAACTGAGAATCAGAGAAACCTTGTTTAAGCATGTGCAGTAGAGGTGGAGCTCGTCGGTGCAAAGGAAACAGCACTAATCGCTGTGCTATCTGGATATAACGATTTTCGTGAAATCATTGTTGTTGACAATAAAATTGTAAGAAAGCAATATTGATTCGAAACCTTTGTAGAAAAAATTTGGTATTTCTAAAACCTATCAGAATGAAGATTTTTATATAAAAAGTTTTGTGTTAGCAGCAAAACCTAAAGCTTTCAAAATATTTTTTTTTGGGATCGAAATTGAGAAGTACCAACTGCAGTACTTTTTGGAAGCACTTCTCTGGGATAGAACCCTCAAGAAGATCTTCTAGTATACGCCAGCTTTCGTCCCGCATATCGAGATGATGGCAGGCGTCAAAACAATCTAGAAGAATCGTTGCCTGAAATTTCAGATGTCTTTTGGTTAAGAGATGCTTCGAAGAAATGTTTTTGGATCATAACTCCCAAAGTTCAGAGAAAATGACTTGGGCAGTCTTCAATTTTTCGAGCATTTTACTCTCGATTGCAGTCTGCCCACTTCATTTTAAATTCGTTGAATCCATGAATAGCTTTACTATCTTACCCGATCGTGGTTAGACACAGCAGATGTAATTTTCTTGGCAGCAGCAATGATAGTCAAGCTGGTGATATGATCCAGGTCTGAGTCGTACTTTGGTAGACGAACCACACTTCGAAGTTTTTCGCCCTCATCTGTTTCCCAAGCAAAAAGCGAGATGTGCTGACGTAGGTGCTCACGTATCTGTAGAAGATGACCATACATGAAAAACTATATGTCAACTCATTTTTTACTTACTTGGTGATCGTCCTGCCCACATTCGATCGCAGAGTCAACCATGAATCGCGTGGCGATAGCTAAGGTATTATTCAGTTCATATCGCTCGCATTCGGCGAGTGTCTTCTGTAGAATGTTCATAGAGACGTCTTTGTTGCCTCTAAACTGCCAAAATATTAGTAAGTCGTGAGATTCTTCCAAAAAGTTAACCTTTGTAGTTCAGCTCTCGAAGTGAGCAACAGCATATACGCTTTTGACTCATGGTCGCGACAGAGTCGAGCCAGAGTTATTGCGTTTTTCGCAAATTCCACGCTTTTGTTCCACTGCTTGTTCTCGAAGGTCAGACTAAACAACAATATCAATTTATGACTCGAAAAAATTGTTGCGAATTACATTGCCATTTTCATGAAGCCCCGTTTAATGGGTATAACTTCGCGAAGTTGTCGTGCCAAAGTTAGCAACTGCTGATAGAAGCCCTCTGCTTCAGCAATGCGTCCCAGCATAAGCAGGGTGTCCCCAAGTTTCTCGAGTAGGAATAATTCGCGTTGGACATGGTTACCTTCTTGTGCCTGCAAACAGACTATTTGGCAGTAAGAAGTGAAAGAGGTCATGTTTTCACCTTCTCCATTGTAATTTCTCAAGTTTATACTTTTAGATCTAGCAATAAATCAACCCCGAGAATAGAATAATTTAAAAAAAAATTTTTTTGCTGTAAAAGAGGGGCGTTAACATATAGGATAAAGAAAAGGATATGGATCCTTGTGTTCCTATGTAGTAACGAGCGGCAACCAGGCTGCCCAAGTGGTAGTTCATTTGATTGATTGATGGCCAAGAAGTTGAAACGTCAATAGTCCCTATTGAGCGAACTAATGCGATATAACCAATAGGCATTTGAGAATTTAAAATTGATTTTCTCGGTTACGGATGTCTTATATGAAAGGTCGCTGAACACTTTTTTAGTGAGGGTCTTCAATCAGTATTCACCAGCTCGAGAATGTTCTTCGGAAAGATAGAGGGGGCAAAAGACAGAATTTTTTTCTGGGAAAAAGGCATGGGTCTGGATTCTAAATATAACTTTGGCGAGTCAACCTTGAAATTTTTGGAAAAAGGGGCGGCTGCCGCAATACTGGTGTGATTTTTTGAGAAATTCGAGAAATTATTTCAGTTGTTTGCAAGTGAAAGTCACTTGTGCCAATAAGTTATATAAACTTTCCAAATTGTGATACATATTGTTTTCGAGATATGCAACACGACATTTTATTCGCCCGGCTTGGCGGCTGGAAGGCGGGGCTTTGTGACCTAGTTGAGGCCGCCCGCCCGCGAAGCAGTCTGCGTCTCTCCCGCGAGCGTGCTCTCTGATCATTGCCTAGCCTTGATTGGCTCACGAAGTTTCGCCTTCCAGCCGCCAAGCCAGTTGAATCAAAGGGCACTTAATCTCATGAAGGCTCAAAATATTGATGATTTCTATCATCAGTACGATGCTAAAACTTCTTGATAACTCGAATTTGATTTTTTCTTGGGTGCTGTCTTCGACTGTGTGGATAATGACTGCAGTGGATAGAAACTATACCTCAGTGAGGCTCTGCTCTAGAGCACGAAGCTCATTACATCCACTAGGTTCTCCCTCTTCACACATTCCCAAATCCTCGAATATTATCGACCTGGATACCGCACCTGAATGTGGGTTTACTTAGATTGTTATAATGTCCCTCAGAGGTAGAAACTCACTGATATCCTTTCTGAGTAGCTTTTTCTGCTCTGCTAGAAGCTCGCTCAAGCAGTATCTTTCATCGTCAGGTGAACAGCACATGTAATGTCTAAGCATGGCTGATTGTGTTATAACGATGGCGTCGACGTTCTCAGAGTTCTTAGCCTGTTCCAGAGCCTGACTGAGGTACTTTACCGCATCGTCACCAGTTTCTGGCGCAATTACTGCCAGTTGGAGCAGGGCGTTCACATGTTCTTGTACTGTTGCTCCAGGAACTTCTAAGAACTTTTTGAGCAAGGCCTTAGTCGAGTTTGGATCGCGCTGTTTTTCATAGATTGTGGCCAGCAATTGAAGACCGCATCTTTCGAGATAGTGGTCCGAGGCAACTTTGGCCAAACGAAGAATGCGTTTGGCTAGTCGTGCAGCACTTATGTGGTGTCCGTTCCGAATTTGTTCACGGGCCAGTAGGAAACATGCGTGACCGAACTATAAAAACAATTTGAAAACTACCAAACTCAGTTAATTTTATCAAAATTTTTAAGGCCTTACCACTTTTTCTTGCGTTCTCTCCGAAGCAGTTTTCAACAAACTGTTCAGGTATTCCACTGCTTTGTCACTGTTACCCTCTTTGATGTGGCAAGCCACGATCGTATCGGCAATGAGAATAGCATCCTCTTCAGTTGTACCATTGACGTTAGACAGTTCTTCGAGGCACTTAGCTGTTTCGCCCTAAATCCATTTGATTCCAGTTAGAAAGTATAGTCGATTCGTTGTTCGCACGGACTGCTCAAATGCTGCGGACCACGCTCGTCGCGGCTGAATTGTCGCGAGAGCACGACTTGTACAATGGCGAATTTGTACTGGGGCACGCTTTTTACCTTGCGGCGCGTGCTCCACAGTGATGTCCAGTCTGTTGCGGTCAAAGAATCGACTACAACTATGCGATAAGGAGCAGGCAATTTTCTATAAGCAAAAGGGATTTTAGTTCTTTAGTGGAAAAACAGAGGCTTCTGATTTTATCTTTCTATCTAAATGATTTCTTTTGTTTCTGTTCTGACTGCGCTGTCAAACTTCAAACTCAAGGTTCCATAATCCTACTCTGTTTACTGACAACATGTTTCGTCTTGATTGTAAAGAGAATAATTTTTTTAGGTGCTTTAGTTGAGCAACTCACCATTGAACCGTAGACCACTCCTTTTCCTATTCGTACTTGCAAAGCCAAATCTTCTTTGTCTTTATCATCCATGAACAGGACTGATTTCTCAATACATTCATACTCTTCCAAGGCTTGTTCTGTTTGATTGAGGTTACTGTGCAGTTTTGCAATTTTTAGTCTTTCCTTTGCCAGCGGCAGGCCACATAGATGCTAAATAATTTTGTTTCTTGCAATTAGTGTATACAGTGCAAAAACCTCCAGAATTTGTTTTCGATATCTCAACGCTAATGCATGATTTCCGGCAGCTTCGGAGCTCATTGCCACGTTGTCAAGCACTTCTGCGGGTGGCCCACCTAAAAAATAGGTGAAGTGTTCTCTATCAAAACAATGAAAATGATGAGCATTTGGTCCTTACCTAATTGCAGACGTATTTCGAGCTGCTGCTGATAACAATGGGTTGCCTGGACAAAGTCCCCGAGCAAGAAGTGTACGGACGCCAGCGACGATAGAGCCGATTCTCGCAAACGTAATGATGGGGTGTGGAGAGAAAGGGCTCGGTTAAGCACTGTCTGCGCTTCTAAAAATCAAGTGCAAGATTGCCGTTTAATTCCTAGATTATTCGCACAAAAAATAAAGCTTCGGAACTGCAGGAAGCAGCAATTTTTGAGACTCGTGAGACTCAGCTATTAAATTTAGAAGTTGATGGAACTTAAGATTATTGGTCTTTATGGTTAAATGTCTCTAAGTCTTTCACCCACCTAGTGTCAAGGTTTGATCATCACGCAGTCCGAAATGGAGAAAACGGCCTATCTTTGCTTATTATTTTGACTCAAACTATCTCCTTTATTTTATATTCAGTGAGACTGGAGATTTGAGGAGTTGGAGAATTTCACTGTCATCATATCTTATTTGCGTTCCTGGAATGTGCTTCGGAAGAGGGATTTTGAAAGGGTGTTTTGAGTCAGCGATAACGCCACAGTATAAAGCTATTTTTTAGTCTTGCGAATGCAACGCAGGAGAGTAGCCAGTGAGTGCTTTGACGAATATCTATACTCTCAATTACCCAATTATTTGATTTCCACATTTTAGTAGTTCTTAGTGTAGCCCCCAAAAATTATGCTCTAAGATCACAATCGTGCTATTAGTTGCATCAGCACTACAATTTATTTCAATTACTCACCGCGATGATAACCAGCAGAAGCCAGTTCTTGACCAGTAACGGTAAGCACTGTAAATCGGTCATGATCCAGTCCCATGCTTTGCAAGCGTTCAAGGGGAAAGTGTTCTAAAATTAGGCGATAGTAGATATCCAAATACCATCTCCTGAGAGGCGAAACTTACTAAAGAGCTGTTGCGAAACGTCGATTTGCATCTCTGCGATGAGTTTATTCGATGGATCAAGAGCAACTCCTTCGCTGAGCGATACTACGGCTGGTAGGAGCGCATTTAGACGTCGTAGTGCTTCACCGCGACGGTAGTAAGCCTAGCAGATCTTCTCTATGGCAATTTTGTGAATAAAAAAACCCAAACCTTTGCCCAGTTCGGGTCCAACTCGATTGCATGGTCTGCATTTTTGAGTGCTTCATCAACGCGATCCAATCGCAGCAAAATCGCCGCGTAATTTGCAAACAGAATCGCGTTGTGGGGTCGAGCAGCGATAGCTTGTTCATAGCATTCGAGAGCTTCGTTAAATCGACCTTCTGAATATGCGGACCCGGCTGAGAGGATGATAGCCTCGAGATCCTCGGTCATCGCACCATGAACTATAAAAAGAAGCATCGGATGTGAGAATAGGCGCGAAAAATTCAAGATTTGAGAGAATTATATTAGCGGATGTCTCATACGTCCTTTATGTTTACACTTTCTCCCGCAGTAAGCCATTTTTGCCTTCCTTTTTAGATAGGTTTTGCGGTATCCTTCGAGGAAGCAAAACAAGCTCTACAAGATGAAGCTGAAACTTTTGCAAAAAGTCAATTCTTCCTAACGCCCCAAGCCAAAATCAAAAGATTATTGCTAGAAAATCAGAGAAAATTCGTATTTTTTTAGCCACAAATTCTGCTGGCATTCATTATGTATATTTTTATTTTTCCATATCAAGAAATTGGTTATTTGCAGTCATTAATTGTAATATTTAAAAGTGTACGATACCCTTTCATTTTTGAATTTCTAGTGCTGTAAAAGGTGTGGCCAACTTAGTGGCTGTTCCCGCAGGGTGCTTTTAAGGTATGAATCTTGCAGTAATCACGGCTTTCCAGCCTTTTACAAATGTTAATTTTGGAGAGTAATGTAGTGCAAAAAGCCCAAATGAGGCAAGATTTTTGTATTTTTTGTCCAGCTTAACTTAGTTATGTTTTTCGATTTGGAGGATGGAGATACAACAAATAAATTAAATATATATTATATAAATTATATTTTCCGTATAAATTTCAATGCAGAGAGTAGATGCTGAGCATGTAAGAAGTCCCGAGAATATTTTTGAGAAGGTACTATCTTTTCTCACTTATTCAAGCATTCCGATTTTTCTAAATTTCGACTTGGGACATTACTTACTTGGGACATTACGCAGGACAGACTTTGTGTGATCGTTTAACTTTTATCTTGTAATGCTTGCTTTGCTCTATAAAAAACGTCGAAAAATTGAAAGAACAGAAGATTATGACTCATTGCAAGAGAAAGTGATGATGGAAAAGACTTTTGAGAGAAATAGCACTTTCTGGAAAATCATGAAAACCGGTGCGAGAAGTTTTGAACCAGCTTCGAATGCAAGACGTTCACATGAGAATATCCTTAGACAAGCTTTCTGCGCATTAAATAGCTATCATAGAAACGATGTCTCCTTTGCAGTCGCAAAACAATTCTCGTACTGACGATAATGCGCATAGAAGTGTGCTTGACGCCAAGTGGATTGGTCCGGTTTAGAAGTGCGCAACAAAGTGAAGACGACGGGTTCAGGCCGTGTTTATCTATGAGAGAGGAGGAAATGACACGAGGAACTACTATTTTTGGAGTTTTGCTTTGTGAGAAGGGTCTGAAAGAGTTAAAATTTTTAGAGTAGTAAAATCTCCTCTTGTAACACAAGTAATTTTGACCGTCGAAACACTGCCACCATAATATCCTCCGACTTGAAGAAGCATGAACACTTGTAAGAAAATGCAAACGTCGGCAGATAGCAACTTCCCTTTTGATGTAAGAGGCTCACAAAGGTGCGGAAGATGCTGTGATAAGCTCAAATATAAAAAAGAGACATTTGAAAAGATCTCTTCAATTTTCTAGAATTACCATCAGGGTTACTAGGGAAGCGTTGTCAGTGGAAGGTTTTCCGTACTCAAATGAAAATGACAGTCAAAATAATAACGTAATATAAAACTGGATAGAAAAAAGCTCGAAAGATGCAGATAGCAAACATTCTAAACGTGTTCCTTTCAAGGAGAAACGCCGTTATTGTGTGGGAAACTGAAGAATTCTTAATTATAGTGAAAAATCAATGTATACGCAGGAAAAAATATGAGATCATTCCTTCCTCTTCAGTGAGCCCATGAAACAACGTACTGCATATGTAATAGTGGCATTGCTTCCTTAAAATAGCTTTGGTCTGCTCTAAGTAATAGTAAAAGATTTTAGTACTGTTTTTTTCTTTCCTAAAATTCTTGAAAACTTCCTGAAGGTCGGTGCAGAATTTGTTTTCGTTTCTGTGTGTGTGACTATTATTTTGAAATGATTGGCTTACGATTTTGAGCACATCTCAAAAGGCGTGTCCCAGGCATTTAATAGGCAAAAATCAACCAAGAGAGTTCGTCAGGCATTATATTAGGTTGGTCCGAAAGTTCAATCAGACCATTTTCAAAAAATCATAACTTCTTTCTAACGTAATGTTTTTTTATGATTAAACCATATTGAAAAGAGAAGTTCATGCACTTTCAAAGCTACCCTGGCTGCTCTCTAATAAATTCTGGATGCAGAGATAAAATTGAGAAATGGAAATCACCTCTAGTGCGAAATTTTGAAGCAAGTCTGTTAAAAATTCCAAAACTGTGCCATCCAATACAGTTCAGTATCCTAGATTTTGGTCCCCTCCTTCTATAGAGCAAAATTCGCGCTGATCGAGCTCTTCATAGAAAAGTTGTGATTTTCGAGAAATGCCAAAATCAGTTTTTTAAGACAATTGATTTTTTTGACATTTTTTCTCGAAAAACATAACTTTTTAAAGAACAGCTCGATCAGCGCAAGTTTTGCTCAGCTGGAAAGAGGGGTCAGAAAGTCTAGGATGCTAGCTGTTTGGATTTTATGACTCCATTTTGGATTTTTCAATGGGCTTGCCTCAAAATTCCAAGTTTGAAGTAAATTCCTTTTCCCAATTTTATCTCTGCATTCAGAACTTAGTAGATACTAATTGGCAAACCCGGCTCCGCCCGGGCCTGATACTATATTTGTAATCAGCATGCTCGATTACCCCCTGTGCCAACTCCCAGCCCTGTAGCTCAAATTTTGCAAAAAATCGATAAAATCGATGTCGATCGATAACGAAAAGTAGCCTATGACACGCTCCCCGCCCCGAAGTATATGTGTGCCAAGTTTGGTCCAAATCGGTTCAGAAATAAAAATTTCTATCCCGCACATACGTACAGACAGACATACAGACAGACAGACATTCAGCTTTATATATAAGATCAACCAAGGCAGCTTTAGAAAGCGGATAAATTGCTCTTTTCAACTGGATTTAGTTATGGGTTAACATTGGGTTAGGAAGTAGTTACGGTTTTTTGAAAATGGTGCGACAGAACTTTCGGACCGACCTGATCTCTATATTCACTATATAAGTTGAGAAGATTCTCTAAATAAGAGGAAAGTCACTGTTTGTCGTACAATAAATTCCGTAAGCGGGGATGGCTGCGGTATTGGCAGGAATGCTTTTCTATCCTCCTCCTAATTATTTATTATGACATGTTCGGACATCAGTTGAAGTTAATTATACGAAATCACTCCTACACAAATTCGTGTTAAACAATCAGACGCATGCACCTGCAAAAATAAGATAAATTGCTCAATGTGAAGAAAGATTTTGTATTGGTTGAATTTGTAGAAATCCATTCATTGATTTTAGGTGATTTCAGTATGTTGAGCAAAAACCGAGATATTTCAGTGATTTGAAGCACCAACAAACATGATAGTTCTTTTGAGTCCCGAAGTTTTCCAAGCCAAAAATTGGGCGATCATTTGTTTAAACTAATCTTAAACGTTGTAAGATTTCATGAAGGCAAAGGGGGGTTTTTTGAATTCAATGCGAAAGAGATCTTTTGTCATATTATGAAAAATTAATGGAGCAGATAACGGTCGTAACGCGCCAAAGCACCACTCACGTACCATAACACTCCCAAAAACGGAAATACCATCGCAGACCTTGACTAGAGATTGTTTTAGTGTAAGCAAAGTGTTTTTTAATACAGTGTTCGACTCAAAGTGCTATGATTTTCGAAGTAGATACAGGGAAATCATTTTTGTAAAAATGAAAAATGATAGGGACAAAAGAAACAGAAAAGATCTTAAGAGATTCGTTATTCAAAAAATACTTGAAGATTGCAGAACACGATCACCATGTCCTCGTTTAGCTATCAGACCAAAAATCCGCATTTGCTGACAGTTTAAAACTGGAGCAGGCCATAAATGGTGACGACCTTGCCAAACGACGGCGACAGAAGATGAGTGCCGTCATGACGGCTACTAGAGGGGTTGACTCTACGACGGGATAATGGGCCAGAATCGCCAAACCGCAGCACATGAGTGAATGTGACTCGGACTTGCTGACCTTGGAAAAGACGAAATCAATGGGAACCGAAATCATTCCACGCAAAGCAATAGCCATGAAAGGTGACGGGGATGACCGGTCCAACGGCGGGTGATGGGGCGCGCCCAAGCATTGTCGTTTAGCGGCGGACGGTAATCTAATTGCGATGATGACGGTTTATATGAGAGATCAGCTGATTGAACAACGATTTACAGCTACATTATTCTTTCCTGTCTACAGTTATAGTTGATTGCCATTCTGCCTATGAAGTTCTGGTTTGTCCAAAATACAAATTTGCCCGAGGAAGAGAGGAGGGACCTCGCGGTCCTTTACAATCTTGTAGAGCTCGTGGAGGATATGCCATGCGGACACAACTGCGCTGTTGGCAAACAGCAATTGAGTTCTGAGCGTTCGTTTGAGAGCAGCACTCTTTTAAACATCAGAAACCGGACAAAAAACTTTCGAATCTTTTTTTTTTGTTTACGCAGAAGCCGTTGCACTGTGTTTACGACCGCATCGTACGAAAATGCCCTTTCCCACAGTGATCGCGCGAATCGAATCACACCCACCGCCTACCTTTATTATATAAATAGTATATGTTGAACTAATCCGCTTGTGCTTGATAGCTCTCAACACATTTACGACAAGACCGATTTTTCGAGGAGCCTTTTTGGTCTTGTCAAACTCACGACCCACCCGTGAGTCGTATCTTCCGAAAAGGTAGTCTTTTGGAGAAAGTTCAAAACATGAACTCGTCAATATGCCTGGAGGAGTTATTGAAGGCGCTAGATATCGAAATAGATTTATTTCAGTTTTTGGCATTATACTGTAATACCACGGTAGTCATTCTGATTCTGTCATTCCAACATTATGTGTTTTCACTGAAAATGGTGTTTTGTGATTATTTCACTTGCTGATCGCGATTATAGTGTCCACTTTGTTCGCTACGCTGCACAGGAGGCTACGGTAA